CAAAGCACTAATAAAATGTTGAACAGAATAGACCTAAAAATAGAGTCCTGGCATACCATTGGCTCCATGCTGACATTGAAAAATTAAGGTCCACTGTACACATCAGAGGCAAAGTAAATGATGAATGAATGTGTGATCCACTTCCTTTGGGACATACTGTTCAGCAACCATGAAAGTATCTAATTATGCTATCATCCACCCCACCTTTCTCCATCCCAGAAACCCCAAGGATGTCAGGGTTGGGCCTGTTTTTAATATTTAATATTTTAATGAAGTGCCTTCTACCAGCTCAGCACACGGATCTTCCATCTTAGTAATAAAATGAAACAGAAAGGAGATGGGCGTACCAGGAATTAGAGAATGCTCACTCACCATGTCCTAGTGACCTCTCCTACCAGGCCCCGGTGTTCTGTCTCCTAATGGTCAGATGGTGTTTCCAGAACAGACAAGCTCGGCAGTCTGCGTTCCTTCCTCTTTAAAACTGTAGTCGTGCCTCTGTTCTGCATAGACACACATGCCAGCAAGGCGTGGGGTCACACTCCGCGGGCTGGGTGTGCTAGGCAAGCAGCCCAGTTCATTGCCATGACCTCGGAATGCATTTTCAGGACGGCGTGTGTCCCGTTCTAGGAGCATCTTCCGTTCAGAGCGCATGGTTGTTGTTTATAGGACTGGCAGTCAGTGGGGATATGTTCCCACATCTCTCGGTTCAGAGGCATCTTGGTTCTTTTATCATTTCTGAAACAGTCTAAATCCATGGTACTGGGGGAAACTGTTTCGTAGTATAGCAAAGATATGTATGGCTTTCTTTGTTAAAGTTTGTTTTTCTTCCTGGAGAGGATCGAGTCCTGTACAAAACGTATGATACTAGCCTTCTTAAAGTGTGTTTTTCTACACTTCTTGAAGACGGAAGAAAAGGAATGTCTGTTATTTAGAACCATCTTGGTCTAGGAGACACCAAAGGAAACAGCTGCGTCTTGCCTCATGTTAGCTGCTTATCTCCATCAGCAGATAAGCAGCAAGCCTCCATCAGTTCTGTTTACGTGCAGCCCTGGTCGGGGATCCCAGCGCCTGCTCCAGGGGAAAGAGGGTAGAGATGTTTACTATGCTTGGGAGCTTATGAGCAGAAAACTTACTCTTATACTGAGTTTCTGAAACCTTGCTGTGCCTGTGAATCATCGGGGGGTCGTGTTAAAGTACAGATTCTGGATCAGGAGGCCTGGATGGGGCCTGAGGTTCTGCATTTCTAAAGCTGCTGGGGTGCTGGTGTTGCTGGCCTGGTGACCACCCTTGGAATGCCAAGGCCTTCGGCCACAGAGCTAAATTTTAAAATACTGATCGAGGGATAGATATAAATGTAGATATAGAGATGCTGGAGATGAATGTATCCAGAACAGTGATTACCAGGTAAACTGTCTGTAGTAAACCCTAAATAAGTCTGTCTCAATTCATCCATGAACTCCCCCTCCACTTTAGCCTTCCTGATGTTTGAACCGTATGATCTGCATTCGTGGTTCTTTTGTAACTTAGTGTTTATGGACTCTTGTGTGGCTCCATGTTTCAAAGGAAGCATTCTGTTGTGGCGGGAACATCCAGAGGCGAACTCCTCGGGACCCAGCTGAATCATTGGGTTTCAGCCCTGAGAAGGCGATTGGGGACACAGAAGCCATTTGTCTGCAGCTGGAAGGAGACCCTAAAAGCAGAAATCCCACTCTTCTTTTTTCTTCTTTCTTATCCCTTACTCTCTCCCTTCCTTTTCCCTACTGCACTTTTCTACCTTCAATTATTGACCTCTTCCTTCTTTTCTATTCATTGAATAGTCACCCAATGTGCCAGAGACATGGACATGGTAGCATACTCTGGCGCCCTCTGGTGGTTCACCGCAAAGAGCAAGACACAGCCCTAGCAGGTTTGGCTCAGTGGATAGTGTGTCTGCCTGTGGACTGAAGGGTGCAGGATTCTATTCTGGTCAGGGCACATGATTCTCTCTCATCATTGATATTCCTCTCTCTCTCTCTCTCCTTCTCCCTTCCTCTCTGAAATCAGTAAAACATATATATGAAAGAGCAAGACACACTCCCTGCCCTCACAGTGCTTCTCCCTGATAGGAGATACTGACATTACAGAGAGATAATGGAGCACAGGGAAGAAGCACATCCCCAGAATTAGATCCTCGTCTCCTCCAAGCTGCACTGGTAATAGCAGGCATGGTCCTTCCAAATGTGGGAGGAGGATGGTTGAATTGTTATCAATTTGGCCCTTTTTGATCCAGTTCAGTCTTTATATCATTGGTATTATTATTATTATTATTATTATTATTACTAAGAAAAGATGTTTATCAATGGATAACTTTTTAAAAGAAAATACATGAATTTGTCTATGCCAAAAATAGTGGTCCATTAGCAGAAGACCAGCTCTAAATAAGCAATGTAAATAAGCCAGGGCACTCCTGAGAACCAAGTCAGCATTCTTCTTCAAACTGGGTTCTTTAAAAAGTACCTTCAAAGGGGTTTTCTCGTTTTGTATATTGTGCATTCAGTTGTATGGGCAATTTTACATTTGCATTGCTAATGGTCCTATTTCTGAATGTGTTTGACATTTTACTTGGCTTTGAAAGGACTTTTCTGCTGCTGCTTTTTCTTCCCTGAGGCTGTCTTGCGCTAATTAACCTATTCCCTTACTGGCTGGGCTTACTATATGCAAATGTTCTCATTTCAGATTCTGACATACTACTTGCATGAACATACTTTGTGAAATCTTGTGGGGTCTTATTGGATCAGTGCTAGCAGGGGGCGTATGGAATGGTGGGCTTTGAGGAGATCTATCTTATATAACTTTGCTAGTTGGTATGGGAATATGAGAGCTCATACAGTTCCTGTGCTCATGGGTGACTCTTGAAATCTCTCGATCATTATCAGTGCTTTTTAAGCAGCCAAAAAGGGCAACTGTTTTTGATGCATTGTAGTTTAATTTTATTCTGTCATTGTTTTGAAAATAGCACTGCATTTCATTGCCTTGTGAGTACGGGGTGTAAATTATGTAGCACACTCTATAAGAGAAGGCTACGCAGAGCACGGTTACCTGGACTTTAAAAGGCTGCAGGTCGGGAGAGTAAATAATTGACACTACTCTTTCGACACAGATATTTCTTCAGCATTAATATTTTAGGTCTTTTTATTTTTGTTTCTGTCCCAGTCTTTAAAGTGCCTCTCATCATATGAGAAACCCTATGATAACTGAAATGCTCTTTGATGTTGAGACACCAAATTCCTAAACCTCCACCTTCAACATAAACTGATCATAGTCATTGTAGGTGGGAGACCTGGTCTCGTGCCATTTGTACTTTTAGCGTGATGTTTGTTCGTGATATTCAAGCAAAACCAAAAAGGACCACTCAATCATTGGCAAAATAAAGTAAAATTGCAGACCAGGGTGCGGTGTGTAAACTGTATAGGAGATGTGGAATAAGCTGGTGTTGGGAGTTGAGAGGAGGGGCGTCGGAGAAAAGTGTGTAATAATAGGGATATGAAAAGATTTTTTTAAAAAGGATATGGCGATTGCTTCAGATAGACAAGGATCAGAGGCTGAAGGCTGCTGCCATATTGTGTTTTGTTTTGTTTTTTTAAATCAGAGCATAGAAAAGAGTGTCTGGGTAGGAGGACCACTGTAACCCCAGGGCACGTGATCCCCACAGCGGGACCTCACAGCTTCCCAAAGTCATAGCATGGTGACATTGTGCGTGTCTTCAGCTGCTGGCCATAGGGGGTGCACACATCTGGCCCTTGTTAGCCTGGTTCCCGTAGCCTCCGTTGATGTTTTGTCTCCTGCCAGGTGGTCATCTTTTTGCCCACAGTCTTGGTGACTCGGAATTCAGTGTTTACTGGGAGACTGAGATATGCGTCTAAGAAATGGCTCCAGGTTCACTGTTTGTATGTTCGAGTGTAAACACACAGGTTCTGATTGGTCTGAAAGAAGTTTCGCCTCCAGGGTTAAGGGTAGGCTGGCTCTCTCCAAGGAGAGCAGGGGCAGGGGGTATAAAAGGAAATTCAAAGGCCACTTGGAACGAGTCGGGGATGAAGCAAGTGTGTAACCATCATTAAAGAAGCCTTCAGTAGCTGAAACCGGTTTGGCTCAGTGGATAGAGAGTCGGCTTGCGGACTGAGGGGTCCCAGGTTCGATTCCGGTCAAGGGCATGTACCTGGGTTGCGGGCACATCCCCAGTAGGGGGTGTGCAGGAGGCAGCTGATCGATGTTTCTAACTCTCTCTCTCCCTTCCTCTCTGTAAAAAATCAAGAAAATATATTTTAAAAAAAGAAGCCTTCAGTACACCTGCATGATTATTGAACTTTTATAAAAAACTGTAACCATATTCATTTTTTAACTGTCTCACCAATTTCTTTTGGTTTTCTGTTACCATGAGTGGCTGTACTGGGAATTCTTGTAAAGAGAATTGTTGTAAAGTTAGGATGGACCCAGAGTCAGGCGGCATCTTCAAGTAGTGGCTCTAATAGATGGGGATTCAGAGATAACATGCAAAGTCCATTGAGGCTCTCACTCCTCACCTGCCCGCCCCAGGGCCTGGCTTGGAGGGTGGGGCCCAGGGGACGTTCCCTGATGTCATCCCTGAGTTTCATTTGATTTTCCAACAAAGTAAAGAGGTCAGGCATGGAACTAGCATTTCCGAAAAGAAAACTTTAGAAGCATATTGTCTACCTTCTAATAGGAAAAAAGGAGAGAGGTATTGAGAAACGTGTCTTAGGGGAGTTAACTTCATAAAAAGGTCTCTGCTTTAAGTTTTGACTTGCTCCACGTCTTAATCATCTTCCTGAGAGGATGTCCACCGAGGCCACTGTTTTAGCTGTTTCAATGTCGGGGTTAGAATCATGTTTTCAGAATTTGCACTGAAGCCAAAGCCTAGTCTTAGTCTTGGGAGGATGTCCTTTTCCGGTGCTGATGTCTTGATTTCTTTTCCCTCCTTCCCTTTTCCCTCTTCCTTTCCCCAGATTCCAGAGCTGCTGCTGGCGGACTGCACCCACGGGGAGATGATTCCTCATGAAGAGCCTGGATCCCCTACAGAAATCAAATGTGACTTTCCATTTATCAGACTAAAATCAGAGCCAGCCAGACAGTGAAGCAGTCACCGTGGAGGGGGGACGGCGAAAAATGAAATCCAACCAAGAGCGGAGCAACGAATGCCTGCCTCCCAAGAAGCGTGAGATCCCCGCCACCAGCAGGCCTTCGGAGGAGAAGGCCACCATCCTGCCCAGCGACAACCACCGGGCGGAGGGCGTGGCATGGCTCCCTGGCGCCCTGGGTGGCCGAGGTCACGGGGGCGGGAGGCATGGCCCGGCGGGGACTGCGGTGGAGCTTGGTTTACAACAGGGAATAGGTTTACACAAAGCGCTGCCCACAGCACTGGACTACTCCCCACCCAGCGCGCCCAGGTCCGTCCCGGCGACCACCACGCTGCCCACGGTGTACCCTCCCCCGCAGTCAGGGACCCCGGTGTCACCCGTGCAGTACGCGCACCTGCCACACACTTTCCAGTTTATTGGGTCCTCCCAGTACAGCGGGCCCTACGCAGGGTTCATCCCCTCCCAGCTGATCTCCCCAACGGCCAGCCCCGCCACCAGCGCGGTGGCCTCGGCCGGGGGCGTCTCCACTCCATCCCAGCGCTCCCAGCTGGAGGCCTATTCCACTCTGCTGGCCAGCATGGGCGGGCTGAGCCACGCCTCAGGACACAAGGCTGAGCAGCAGCAGCAGCAGCACTTGGGCAGGACTCCAGGGCTCATGGCACCAGGGTCCCCACCACCCACCCAGCAGAACCAGTACGTCCACATCGCCAGCTCCCCGCAGAACGCTGGGCGCACGGCCTCTCCACCGGCCATCCCCGTACACCTCCACCCCCACCAGACGATGATCCCACACACCATCACCCTGGGGCCCTCCCCCCAGGTCGTAGTGCAATACACAGACTCCGGCGGCCACTTCCTTCCTCGGGAGGCCACCAAGAAAGCCGAGAGCAGCAGGCTGCAGCAGGCCATGCAGGCCAAGGAGATCCTCAACGGGGAGCTGGAGAAGGGCCGGCGGTACGGGGCCCCCACCTCGGCCGACCTGGGCCTGGTGAAGGCCAGCAGCAAGTCGGCGCCTCACCCCTACGAGTCCAGGCACATGGTTGTCCACCCCAGCCCCTCCGACTACGGCAGTCGGGACTCCGCAGGGGTCCGGGCCTCTGTGATGGTCCTGCCCAACAGCAACACCCCCGTCTCCGACCTGGAAGTGCAGCAGGTCACGCACCGCGAGGCCTCCCCCTCCACCCTCAACGACAAAAGTGGCCTGCATTTAGGGAAGCCCGGACACCGCTCCTACGCGCTCTCACCCCAACAGGCTCTGGGCCCCGAAGGCGTGAAGGCCGCCACCGTCGCCACGCTGTCACCCCACACGGTCATTCAGACCACACACAGCGCTTCGGAGCCACTCCCAGTGGGACTGCCAGCCACAGCCTTCTACGCAGGGACACAGCCGCCCGTCATCGGCTACCTGAGCAGCCAGCAGCAGGCGATCACCTATGCCGGCAGCCTGCCCCAGCACCTGGTCATCCCCGGCACCCAGCCCCTGCTCATCCCGGTGGGCAGTGCTGACGTGGACGGGTCGGGAGCTGCCTCTGCAATAGCCACGTCGTCACCCCAGTTTGCAGCAGTGCCTCACACGTTCGTCTCCACCGCCCTTCCCAAGAGCGAGAACTTCAGCCCAGAGGCCCTGGTCACCCAGGCCGCCTACCCGGCCATGGTGCAGGCCCAGATCCACCTGCCCGTGGTGCAGTCCATGGCGTCCCCGGCAGCAGTGCCCCCGACGCTGCCCCCCTACTTCATGAAAGGCTCCATCATCCAACTGGCCAACGGGGAGCTGAAGAAGGTGGAGGACTTAAAAACGGAGGACTTCATCCAGAGCGCAGAGATCAGCAATGACCTGAAGATCGACTCCAGCACCGTGGAGAGGATTGAGGACAGCCACAGCCCCGGCGTCGCCGTCATCCAGTTCGCCGTCGGGGAGCACCGGGCACAGGTAATGTTCACCCAGGTCCCAGGCAGGGACACCCACCACACACCTTCCTCACTTCCTGGCGAGATGAACGTCTTCCGGGCGCAGACTCTGCCGTGCTCTGGGGGGAATGGAAGGCTTTCATTTGTACCCAGACTTCGGACTCTGAGTCTTCTCTAAGAAGATTCTCTAAGAGAATTAGCCCCAGTGCCCCAAGACATCTGCTGTTTGCAGTGATCTAACTTCTCTGCACCTGGAGTGAGGCTAGTCAGGTCCCAGCCCAGGACAATTTAAGGAAATCATCACTCAAGTTATGCTTTTGTTCTGGAGTTCAGATGGGAACCTGACTCTGAGAAAGGCTGGGTTAAGGCCCTTCTAGAGGCCCATCTTCCCCTTTTTTCCCCACCAAGAAGGGACACTGATGGTCAGGTAAGGATAATAGATGCCCAGAGTCACCCACCATATCTCATACCAACATCCGTGTTTTAAAATGCAGGTTTTATTGTTGGTCAGGCATGGCGAGGCCAAGAGATGAGATAATGGCCATTGAAAACATAGTTCTTACACTCCCAGATCCCAAGAGGGGACATGCCACACGGGGAAGCACCAGGCTCAGTCAGGAAGCAGAGGGAGTGAGGAGAAAAGGGGGAGTACTGTGGTTTCTGTGGGGAGGAGTGGGTGAGAGGGTGAGTAGGTGTGGGACTGGCTGGTTTGAATAACTTTATAGTTAGCTCTCCTCCTAGTTGTCTGGTACCTGCTGTGGGGTGACTGGGGCAGGTGGGCAGTGGCCAGGAGTCTGAGCCTCTGTAAAGGAGGTGGCTCAGTGGTTTGCATATGAAGGGTATGCTCCCAGCAGAGTTGATTGCTATCTCTAGGAATTAGCTAACCCCAGAGGGGAAATCCCTCCAGAGTCAGCAAGGCCCCCAGATGTCAGAGCATCAGAACACGGAAAATAAAAGGCCGGGTTCATACAATCCAAGAAGTCGGGCCTGTCCCAGGTTCTTCTGCTGGGCTTGGGGTGAATAGGAACCCCAAGAGTCATGTGCAGCCAAGCTGACTCATGTTAGAAACTAGAATTATGATCAACTCTCTTATAATTTCCCTGGGCTCCTTCAGTCTACCCTTTTCCAGGCTCTTAAATCTCTTGGATGCATTTATTCACCACCCATTATAGCAAACAGCAACGTCACTGCCCAGGTTGATTGAGTCCAACAGAGTAGGCCCCCATGGGAACTCTCCTGGCGGTAGAGCCCACTCTCTGGGGATGTTTCCATCAGGGACTTTGAAACTCTGGGCTGTGACAGCGCCTCCTTCAGGTGTGAGTTGGAAAACGGTCAAGGCTTAGCTGATGGGACATTTACAGAAAATAAAACAAACAAAACAAGACAAACTAGTTAATGGTTTGAATTGTTTTAAGTACATTTTTAAAAGATCAAGTGAAGTGGAGGGAGGCCAATTTTCCAAAGTGTTTTCCGGAACTCCTTTTGAATGACCGGATGTGGGATCTTACACAATAGCCAGGACCTGCCTTGCCAAGAGCTTTTAACCCCAAATATTTTTCTTTTTTATGGTGAGATGTCACTGTAGGCTTAGACTCTTTGGTAAGACCCACAAAAGATTTCTCAAAGTTCTGAGTCAAAGAAAGAGCAAAACTCAAGCTTTTTAAAATGGCATCATTATGTACAACTCACTACCCATCTGTAGTTGCTGCTCACTCCGACCTTCCTACATGGATTGGGGTCAGTCCTCGTAGGAAAAAGGAATTCTCTTTAGCAAAGCTGTCTTTTTAAGAGTCCCCAGGAGAAAGCGTGGTAAATAAACAAGAATGAAAAGTAAATGTGTTTTTCATGGTAGTTTTTTGTTGTGTTTTTTTTTTTTTTTTTATCCTTAAAGCGTTAGCGTGCACAGAAGTAGGAATGGAAAGAGGTGTGATATTTTTAAACACTCCTGGTTCCTTACCTGCATCTCTTTCAACTTAAGAAAGAGCAGCTCTAGCCGTGGGCCGCATCTCCAAGGCCCTGGCAGCCTCTCACACCAGCGCTCACGGCCTCTTTAGGTTTCAAATGGACCTGGCAGGTTTTAGAGAGGAAGCAAGCATCTCTCTGTGTTTTCCCTGCTTGATACTTTGCAGAATGAACGTCTAAATGATAGAGAAATTGGCTTCCAGGCCAAGTCTCATTACCTTCCCGTAGCCAGACCACTCGTCTCTCTGCTGACAGCCAAGGTGCAAATTAGAAGGTGGAATATTTGTCACAGCCTGTTCACAGGTCTGTCAGGAGGGCCCCTGTGTGGTCGGGCTGCGTGCTGGGAAGGGCTTCTGCAAAGACCTGTGAGAGAGCTGTTGTAGAAACAAGTGCAGGCCCCCAGCACAGCCAGTGATTTGTCACTCTACTGGGAGCCTATCAGAAACAGGCTGACATCATCACAGTGGAAATACTCCCTCAGCTGTGTCTGCCTCAGTGACAGAGCAGAGTCCCGGAGAGTCAGGGAGAGCTCAAGTCCAGATTTAATTTACGTGCCCAGGACGGGGTGCTTCCCTCTGTGACCAGTGTCACTGAAAGCTCTCTCCCCAGCCTGCAGATCAGTCCATGTCTTCCCTACTGGCTAGAATCACTAACCCTTGCACCTACAGGGAGATTAGAAATGTGCAAATTGTTTAACTTAATTAGCAAAATCACAGATTTGATTGGGGAAGTGAAGGAACAGGGCTGGTTTTCCCATAGTAGGTGGCTTTATGGCCCTGGGCATAAATCCTACCTGGTTGGAGGGCCTCAGGGGGCCTGACCTTATAAAACCCAAACAGGGTCTGACCTTATAAAACCCAAGCAGGGTCTGACCTTATAAAACCTAAGCAGGATCCCGAGAAGGCCATGTGGCGCAGAGAAAGCCAGGAGTCCGGGTGCCGGTCAGCTGCCAGACCAGTTGTTTTATCTCTGAGCTGCCATTTTTCTCATCTCGAAACGGGGAGATGACCCCTTACACCGGGTAGATACTTGGGCCTCCTTGTTCTGTAATCGTTGGCTTTCCTTCCTGCCCTGCAGAACCGCCCTTATGAAACTGGCCAGCACCAACACCAGAACCAGGGGCCATAAAGGCACCTCCGCTGATCTCACGCTCAGGACCCGCCGTAGACTGTAGACGTTGATGGAGGGGAACTAAAGCCAGCCTGTGTGAAACAGAGGGGCTTTATTTTGGTGATTATTTTTAAGGAGCTGATTTTCTTCTTATTATTATTCAAAGATGCCTCCAATGTTGTTTCCAGCTGAAGCATCAGATGGGGCAGTGTAGGAGAAAAATACTTTCCCGTATTCATCCCCATCCCTGGGGCTGGTCCTACGCAACAGGGCATTTTTGTGCACCCCAGTGACCCACCCCAGGCGTTATCCCTTACTACTACGGGCTCCACAGGAAGCTTCTTTTGGCCACTCTGCAGTCTTCTTCCTCTTCCGGTGAAGGGCAGGTAGCACACTCCCTCCACCCCTGCCGAGGGTCCCTGCTTCCATCCAGCTGCCCCCTCAGCCCTGGTGATTCTGGTCGAGAGCCCCAAGGGACAGTAGAATCACTTCCCTCAGAGCCTCACTCCCAAATATAATCCACTTAATATTCTCCGTAAGTTTGAGTCCATAAGTCTGTGGTGAGTCCCAGAAGGAATCCCAGGCAATAGGATTGTGGAGCATCACCTGCTTGGGTGGGAAGCAGGTTGGCTGGAAGGAGAATGTGGGATCTGGAGCGAAAAAGACCTCAGTCTGAATCTGCCCCCCACCACTCTGTAGCGCCGGGGCCTTGTGCAAATATTTACAAATAATTGCACAAATAATGTACCATGCAAATTCTACCCCAGCCTTCCATCCTTGGTTATGTAGTGGGAATAATGTAAGAATTAAAGAAAATACATTCAGCCAAAACCGGTTTGGCTCAGTGGATAGAGCGTAGGCCTGCCGACTGAAGGGTCCCAGGTTCGATTCCAGTCAAGGGCATGTACCTGGGTTGTGGGCACATCCCAAGTGGGAGATGTGCAGGAGGCGGCTGGTTGATGTTTCTCTCTCATCGATGTTTCTGGCTCTCTGTCTCTCTCCCTTCCTCTCTGTAAAAAAATCAATAAAATATATTAAAAAAAAAAAGAAGAAGAAAATACATTCAAAGGAACCAGCACACTATGTAGCACGTAATGGGCCCTCAACAATGTTAGTGTCCCTTCCCTGCTTCCCTTAAGTGACTTTGGCCCTGAGAAGGAAAATGGTTAGCTTCTGAAAAAGAAAAGGCTCTGTGCTCTATAGTAAACAGAGTTTATGGAAGGAGAGACAGTTTAGAAAAGCCCAGAAAGAAGGCTGAACTTTCCCAATGAGCTGTGTTTACCCTGCCTGTGTTCCTGTGGCATGTTCCCAATGACGGGCCCGGAAGCATGCATACAGCTACTTCTACGTGTGAGCGTACACATGCAGTGCTTTCCTGCGTGTGCACTGGACTGGAGGGGTGGATGCATGGTCCAGCCCTCCACATCAGTAAGAGGACCCAGGCGGGAACTGCGGCTCATGAGCCTCTCCTGCAGCAGGCCTGCTAGGAGAGTCCCACCTGCGGGGTCTTCAGGTTCCATCTGGCAAACAGTGTTCTGTATGTGAGCAGCCTCCTACCTCTCTGCCTCATGCTCCCCAGGCCTCAACTTTTCTGAAAAGTACACATACTTGGCTCAGAAGACTTGGAGCAGATCTTACTTGAAAAGTGCTCTGGGTGACTCTTTTCTTGGACTGCTTCTCTCCTAACTGCCGAGCTCCTTATGTTAGTGGGACTGTCTATCGCTTCCCAGATCCTCCTGGGGTGACTGCTTCCCATTACCGCCGCAGCAACCGCTTAATATTCAGTGCTACTTCCTTCCCCCAACTGTCCTGGCGTGTTGTGTGTGTG